TATTCCTGGCTTTGAAATCTGAATATCAATAAACTTTTATTGTGACAGTTTCATTACATTCTTACACTCTTCCAAGTCACAGAAATTCTTCAGGGATTACAAATACTAAGCCAAATTCTCATCCTATAGAAGCAAAGAGAGTATCATCAGGTCACAATTATATAGTGTTTTAAGGTTTTGGTTCTAGAGCATGGGAGAATACTAAATAAGCATTTGAACTCCTTGGAACCTTGTCCCATGTCACAGAGAGTATGAGTTCTCTCATACTCAGAAGTGGAAGTCTACCACAGGTCTTAAGAATACAACTGAACAAGTTTTAACAAATATATATACCTGAGTAACCAACACCCTAATTAAGATATAGAGCTTTGCCAACAACCTAGAAAGTTCCCTCACTTTCCTTTCCAGTTTGTCCCCCATCCTCCCCATCCTCCCCACCCCCCAGGTAACAACTGTTCTGATCTCTATCCCCATAAATTCGTTTTGTCTGTTCTTGAATTGCATATAAATCTAATCATACAGTGTGTTTCTTTTTTTATTGGCTTCCTGTGCTCACTGCAACTGTTTTGAGATTCACGCAAGTTGTTCATGAATCAGTAGTAGTTCCTTTATATGGCTGAGCAGTTGAATTTCATTGTATGAATCTGACACAATGTGTTTATCCATCATTAACAGATAAGCTTGTTGGGTACATAAAGTTGCTTCAATAAAACTCAGTGCAGCAGTATCTGTTCAATCACATCTGCAACTCACACTTGGCTTTTGCTAATGCTATGCCAAGGACTAAATCTGATTTTTAGTCCTTCAGTCATCAATGGGATGAAAATAGAGTATGGGAAAAATGGAATCACTTGAGTCTGAAACTGAGAATAAAGCACAGGGAGCAAGAGATATTGGGGAAAATATCTTCAAGGTAACGCAAATTGTTCTCGTCTTTCCTTTTCCTTGTCAAGTATTGTCAAGACTGAACTAAATGCAGGTCTAAAGAACCCTGGTGGTATATTGGTTAAGAGCTCCCAGCAACTCCATAGGAAAAAGATGTGGCAGTTTGCTTCAGGAAAGATTTACAGCCTTGAGAACCCTATGGGGGGCAGGCAGTTCTACTCTGTCCTATAGAGTCTCTATGAGTTGGAGTAGACTCCACAGCAGTGGGTTTGATTTTGGCTAAATGAAGGTCTAACCTTCCCTCACTGTTATCTTCATCTTAAGCTCTCCTAGCTCTTTTCACTATTGAGTAAAAATCCTATCTCTTTGTGGACAATTTAAAGGCTTTTAGTTATTCAATTAAACCTTGCGTGCTTGACTTTAGTCCCAATTAGTTTGTCAGTGAAGGCAACAGTGCTCTATAAAAAAATATTTTGGGTCCCTTTCTTTGGACCATGTAAACCACACACATCAAAAGAGCAGGAAAGAAGGTTGGAGGAAATGATGCCATCTATTATGATTTCACATCAAAAATTTATGGTGTCCACCAAATAGAGAGGGCCACAAAAACCACAAACTTCATCAGCCAGAGACCAGAAGAACTAGATGGTGCCGGCTACCACAATGGCTGCCCTGACAGGGAACACAACAGAGTCTCTGATGGAGCAGGAGAAAAGTGGTGTGCAGAACTCAAATTCTAGTAAAAAGACCAGACTTAATGGTTTAATTGAGACTGGAGGGACCCTGGAAGACATGGCCCCTGGGCTCTCTGTTAGCCGAAAACTGAAACCATTCCCGAGGCCAACTCTTCAGACAAAGATTAGACAAGACTATGGGACATAAAATGATACTCATGAAGAGTATGGTTCTTAGCTCAAGTAGATGCATGAGATTAAATGAGCAGCTCTCGTCCAGAGGCGAGATGAGAAGGCAGAGAGGGTCAGGACCTGGTTGAATGGACACGGGAAATCCGGGGTGGAAAGGAAGAGTGTGCTGTCACAGTATAGGGAGAGCAAGTAGGGTCACGAAACAATGTATGTAAAACTTTTTGTATGAGAGATAAACTCGAATTGTAAACTTTCACTTAATGCACAACAATGAATACAAAAGGAATAAAAAAATATGTATGGTGTTCAGAGGGAGAGAATACTCTATCAGGTCCAACAAGTGTTTTTTTGGTTATTTATGATTCCTGCCTCAAAATGTTTATAACGTATTTAGAAAACAACACAGACAAATCTAGTTTAATCAAATTAGTTAGAAGACAAACTAGATCAAATCTAGTCTGATCTAATTAGTTATGCGTTCTCAGGAAACAAAAAACACCATCCCAGTTGAGGTGTATGGAGCAAGCAATAAGTGAAAAAGAATAGCTGAGCATTATGCGGAGATTACAGGAACCCATTATTACAAACAAAATACTGTGGGTGGATGATGGTTCCTAGTTAGAGATTAATTTTGAGCTCGTGACTATTCATATGGTCAACTCTTTAACAGTTTTTGCAGTAAGAATATTATCTAATGGCTCACTCCAATACTATCCCCTGCATCTCAGAGGTTAAGTGGGGCTGCCAGTACTTAGAATTACTTTAACTTCAAGTCTTCATTTTGTAGGATTACCCTAGTAGAGCCAGCCACATTTCTGAGGTTGCTATTTCAAAGTAGTAGTTCCCAAACACAGCTGTATTTGTAGCTGTCCATAAAAAGTGACAGATCTCAGCAATGTACTGAATGGAGGCATGAAATAGAAACTATCCAAAAAGTGCAGTCCAGTTTGCAATTACTACAAGAGAATTGCATTGGCCGTTCTTATTATCCTATTAAATGTGACTCATGGATCAATACAATTTTACTAGGCTTTCTCACTTTCCGTTACAATGTAGGAAAAAGGTAGAGTTTCAAGAATGTAACAGAAAAAAAAGAACATAGTAGGAATGAATCCAATTTGAAAATAAGTGAAATTAAAATCTTTATAATAAGACTGCTCACAATGAGGAAAAACATTAGATAATGTCACAAACAACAACTGAAGTGTTGGGATGGCTAAAATAGAATCAAGTATCTCATTAACATGAATGCAAATTTCCCATTACTGTAAGTTTTGAATCTCTAGCAATACCACTAGACCAGTTTTTACTAAAAAACTAAATATTTCTACTTATGAGATTAGAAAGTAAGAAGCATCTGTCTTATAAAAGATTTTTATTTTAATGTTCTCTAAAAATGCAATCACTTTTAATTTTGTGAATAAAGTATTATTTGATGTAATTTTGTAACTTTCCTGGATATTATTTAAGAGTCAATGTGTACTTTTTACAAGGTTATGTCATATTTTGCCATGGTTATCTGTTTTATTCCTCTTGAAACACACCACAAACATTTTTATTCAAAACTTTAGATGTCTATATTTTAATATAAACATACAGTTACTGAGATGTCTTTCATTGTCAATTCTCAGAATATGCTAAATTAAAACCAGAGAAGTATTCCTGTTGGGACACAACCAAGGATTCCTTCATCCTAGCCTTTGCTTCTTGGCAAGAACTTGGGCTCTGCCACACAACTGCCCAGGAAAACCACAGTCATGACTGTGCAGCTTTTTTGGAATGAAATGCACTATCTGGAGTTTTCTGGAAGAAAGCACATCTAATCACAGATGGGCAAGTGAGGATGTCCTCTCTGTCACTAATGAGCTCCCCATTCCCCACCAGGGCCAGGGCCCTTTCTCCTCTTTTCCGTCTCACGTGAGTCACTACTGCACTTATGGACCCTTTGGCTTCCAGAGACACACAAAATCGACAGTTTTCCAGTATGCTTGATTCTGTAACGAAAGCTCTAGGAAGTGAGTGTAACAATGAAATCATTCCTTCCGCCTCACCAGACAGATGGATAGAGACATTCCAGTTTGTTTCCAGTCTTTTGTCTTCGGAGCATTTTTGGCATTTCCTTCAGGAAACTGGAGGTTGTGACCTAAGGTTTCCTTAGTGAACACACTCCTGTTTCCCACAGTTAACCTTACCCAGAAATGACATCTACTCCATTAGGTGAGGTTTATCTTCATGTCCCAACTGTGTCCTGTCCATAGTCGATGACATTTGAAAGCACAATTCGGAAAGTAACAATAGGACTGGAGAGCTAAACACACAAACCAATTTAATACCTAGTGAAGACAACAAAACTACTAAAATAAGATTGAAATAACTTTTACAACAATTTTGTGATGCTTGCAAAGTGCCCTTGCTCTCAGTTTATAACTGGAGAAAGTAAGGACTAAGTATATTAAAGCTTTCAGATATTAAGAATTGAAAGCTTTCAGATAAAAGGTGCCATGCTACTCAGCCTGCATTCTACAACCTGCTACCTCATTGATATTGTACAAATATCAAAGTGTAGACTAGGAGAACCCAAGACAGTGTCCTGCAAAAAACGAAAAAAGTGATTTAATAATGTCTCCCATGTTTAAATCCCCACTTCCCTAGCTTGTTGGTAAAAGGCCAAGAATGTAAGCTTTTGTTGATGGGTTTGAACTGATTTTTGAGTCTCATAACCTAAGTTCGATTTACAATCACACTGTTGTATAGTATTTCTTTAAAAATCCATGTTTTGGAGCAGAATTACTGTATTTAATTTAGTTTGGCTCAAATGCAATCAATTTAAAATTCAAACAATTACTTTTACTTGCCAATGTGGTATTTAAAAGGTTGGTGGTTTGTATCTCATTCTTTACTACTCTTCAGTGTTAACTTACTGAAGTTTCTCACCCTGAAGCAGCCAGGGTGGTTTCTAAACAAACCAGGTTTTTTTTTTTCCACACCCTAGATTATCAAGGTACAATCCTTTAAAGAATAACAGAATTTTTCCCTTAGATTTTTGATTCCAAAAGACACATAGTTAGTGTGTCAATAATTATTTTTAAAAATGCTCTTCACAAAGGGATCTTTCAAAAAATCAGTTTATTAATGTTTAAAAGTTGATAAAGCTATGTGCAAAATCATCCACAGAAGTCAGAAACCTATTAAATACTATTAAAAAAGAGACGTTTCTCTGTTTAATTGCACTGAAAACCATACTATAGAGACAGCGATATATTTTTATTCTTTGTAACATTTATACACCTTTTCCATTGACTATCTAATTTACACTGTACTGAAAAATGTCTGATGTTCCCTATCAGTTAAAATAATGCTTTAAGGGCACAAGAGGGTGGTATTTTCTTAAGAGATGCACATTCAATGGTGTTAACACGTTAGAAAAATCCAATACAATGACCTTTGCTGAAACAAATACATTCAAAAATCATAAAAAGTATTTTTAACACAACAAAATACAACCATCCTGTTGGTTGAAATCAATCCCACAACACTCTGAAATAAACATCAAGAAAAGTGCCAAAGACAGAAGTTGTATTTGTTAGACACATTTGAATATTAAGGAATCTCTCTTGGTTTACAAAAGTCAATCCCCAGTCAGTTTTCACCGTCTTTTGCTCCGTTGCTTCTTTTATGACACTAAGGATCCTGGCTGATATCATTTAGATAAAGGGGACTTCCCTATACAGATTCAGCCACAATGGATATGATACTGTAACACATTTATTTCACTGTAGAAGATGTAAAAAAAAAAAAAAAAAATCAAAGTGACTTCAACCAAATTCCAAAACACTGATCCAGCTTACGTGGAAACTTTGGCCTCAGCAAATGAAATTGCTTTATTATCTCCAAACCATCTCCATCTCCTCAGGGCAACCTACTCAATTCAGCCAACCTGCTACAGATGACCAGGAAAGGGACCACGCCACCACCCTGGCTCTGATGATGGCCAGACAGTTAACACATAAAATAAATTTTGAGGAGGGGTGTGAAAGGGAATGGAGAGCGGGATATGCAGAACATTCCTAGAGAAGCAGAAGTGCACACACTCATCTGGGTTTAAACTAAAGTGAAAAAAATCACCTTCTCCTCAAAGTTCCAGACAAAGAGACGGTTCACATGGGGACATTCGTCTTTGAGGAGGGGCCAGATGAACCCTTCAGGAGCCTGACAATGCTAGACCTTTGGCTCAGTGCAAAATCAAAGCTCCAGGAGGGAGGAAATATATTCCAGGCCAGGACCCGATCTCCACCCTTCCCAGTGCATTGTTCCCAGGAACTAACTCTACCCACCAGCTCCAGGCTTCTCATATTCTCTCCCTCCCTCCTTCTGGCTGGCAGCAGCTCCTCCCTGGCAGCAGTCGAGGCCCAGAGAATTTTTCCAAACACTGGGGTGGTGGCCACATAAGAACACCCCCCCATGGGTTGGCAGCTTTCAGTTTTAGGAAGAAGAGTTGACATTTCCAGAGGACATAATGGTCTCTGGGTTGTCCCCATCGTCCTTCTGGGGGTGGGAGGAGTTGTCCGACTTACTGCGGCTGAATTCCACTCCAGCAATGATGGGTCGTTTGAATTTGCCAGTAGAGTCTCCACTGGGACACTTGCAGCAGGACATGATTTTGATGAAGGCCCGGCGCATCTCCTTGTTGGTCAGAGTGTAAATGATGGGATTGGTGCCAGAATTAAGCACAGCCAACACCAGGAAGTACTCCGCTCTGAAGAGGATGTCACAGGTCTTCACCTTGCAGCCCACATCTAGCAGCAACAGGATGAAGAGGGGCGCCCAACAGGCAATGAAGACGCTCAGGACAATAATCACCGTCTTGAGCAGCGCCAGTGACTTCTCAGAGCTGCGGGAGGCCTTGGAAATATTCTTGCGAAAGGTCAGACGGCGGCTCCGAGTCCTAACCAAGGAGTAGATCCTGCAGTATAGGATGACGATGGAGAGCAGGAGCAGAGTGAAGACCGTGGTGCAGAAGAGGATATAGTGCTTGTGGTAGAGCGGCAGCACCGTGGAGCAGCTGGAGAGCATGCTGATGCAGTTCCAGCCCATGATGGGCAGGCCGCCCAGGATGACAGAGATGACCCAACAGGCACTGATCAGCAGGAAGGAGCGGAAGCTGTTGCTGCCATTGTGGAGTTTCATCTTCAGCATGGTGATGTAGCGCTCAATGGCAATGGCTAGCAAGCTGAACACAGAGGCAGACAGGGCCACGAACATGCTCCCTTCCCGCACAAACCACTGGGCAGGGGTGAGCTTGTAGGTGGTGGCCCCAGACAAGAGCAGGTTGGCTACATACGCCACTCCTGCCAACAGGTCTGAGAGAGCCAGGTTACCAATAAAATAGTACATGGGTCGGTGGAACTTCTTGGTTTTCCAAATCGTCAGCAAGACGAAGATATTCTCCAGGATGATAAAGCAGCAGATGAGGATGAACACCACCGAGGTCAGTTTAATGCCATTATCCTTGTCAGCGCTGATATTCAGCTTTCCCGTGTAGTTGTAATGCCGGATGATGATGTCATAGTTGACATAGTCGGAGATGGAGCTGCGGAGGGCCTTGACCAACGGGATGCTGGTGGACCCCATGGTGCCCACTGTGTCCCCAGGAACCCTGGCGTGGCACTTCTCCAGACGCTAGAGGGCAACGTTGAGAAAGCTGTCACACGCTGTCGGGGTGATTCAGTGGGAGAGATCCAGGCTTTCTGTGTTGCTTTTCCTTGGCTTGAGGGGGCCTGGGAAACCGCAGCCTTAAACAAATCACAAAGAGGAGAAAGTCAGGAAATAAGCCACATCACACTGGCATAATTCTCTCCAGCTAAAACATTGCTCCAGTTGCTGTTGATTTGTTTTAAAGAAACTTGGGGAGAGTGCAGGGAAAGGAATAAAAAAAAATCATATTTTCACTTCTTGCAAAAAAAAAAAAAGAAAAGGGGGAGATAGAGGAAGAGAAACCAAAAATTTACCCCAGCCTGAAAACTTAAACTGGACAAGACGCAGACTCTCCCTATGGTCGGTCGCATCCGCTCAAAAGGAAAAGGGAAACCTGGAAAGGCACGCCCCATTCTAACTCCAGTCCGCCCCGTCGCCCCCCAATTTCCAGCCCGGAGATTTTCTGAAAACTTCACTGGCTTAGCCACGAACTCACCGCCAGCTCATGCTCTCTCCTCGGAAGAGACCTAACTGCCAGTCTGAGGGCTGAGACCCACACCTCTGTCTCCTCTTTCCTCCGCTGAAAGAGGCGAGCACCACCTCCTAATTGCCATGCACGAAAATCACTTGACAGCGTAAGTCATTCTTTGAGCTCTATTAATAACTCTCCAGGAGCAGGTGTGCAGGGTCGGCTCACCACCCTGGGTCCGCGGGCGCAGTGAGGTGTGGGCAACGACGCCTGCCCTGGCCTTCGGTAAACAGGAAAGCTTAGCGCCTGCGTGAAGCAACTGCCTAATCTCTCTTTTTTTTTTCCGCAAGCTAGTGCAAGTGAATTTAAAGGAACTCAGTGAAAACCATTCAGAAGAAAGAGATTGCAATCCATCCCAGAAGTTCGGGATATATTGACTGCATAAGGGATATTTTTAGTTATTGTGGGTACGCTCAAAATAAACACACACACAAGCATACACAAAAGAGAGAAGTTATATTACTAACGACAAAAATACCGGCCTCCACATTCCTAATCTGAGTGCATAACTACTCTCCAGAAACTCACAAAAGCGTACGTCCGGTGCAGCGCTAAGCAAACGTGGGTAGTTTTATTGACTGCCCTCCCTCAACACGTTGCTTCTTCTCATAGAACTAGAAAGTGTGGCGGTAACGAAACACAGCACCGTTTAACAGAACTCTTAAGTTGCTTCAATGTTTCAAGGTAACGCGGCAGTGGTGATGAAAGCGGCGTAACAGAGGCGAGAACAAGTCCAGCAATTCCCGGGACAGCACAGACCGCTCGCGCCAAAAAGCTCCGCATTTCCCTATCGAATTCTGCACCCCGCTCGAGCGCACTGCAAGTTTAAAGCCATCCCCTCCCTCCCCATATTCTTTGTCTATAGAATTTCCAAAATTAACTGCCTTCCTCCCCCTTCTCCGACCAACCGCAGCTTCCAACCCTCAATCTCGGTCGGTTCTCCAGTTGGAACTTAATCCTCCTTCAAATTCCATAAATCACAGAAGCCCAAGAACAATCCGATTGGGTTGGGCTCCATAGTAGCCAGGAATACATGTTTTCAACTCCCAGAGGTGTATGTTTTCAAAGTTTTGTTTGGCTTCGTTCCATCTTAAAATTCGTTTCTGATACTGAAATCCTCCCCACCCCCACGGGGCCCCGCGCCCCCGGCCGGCACCGCTCGCAGCCCCCTACCTCGCTCAAGCAGGACGGAGTTGCGTTGGGAGACCTCTGGGTCTGCACAGCGCGCTCGGCATCTTGCTGCCACCGACTGACGGCGTCGAGCTCTTGCAAACTTACTAGAGTCGGGGTCTCCTCCCTCCGCAGCCGCGCACTCCAACCGCCAGCCCCACACGCAGCGGCCCGCGCTGGCCCGCGAGGCGAAGCTGCTGAGCGCCGCGCCGAGGCTGGGTGGCTTCTTTCGGAAGACACCGGGAGGGGTTAATGCCTCAGCCCCCCACGCCCTTCGCCGGTAGCTGGGGGCCACCGGAGCTCGGCTGCTGAGACGAACTGTCCAGGAAAGATCTAGGTCAGAAGTAACAAAAAAACAAAAAAACAAAAAAAAAAAGAACTCCTCCTCCCCCTCCAGCAACCGAAATTAAAAAAAAAAAAAGAAGGGGCGGGGACTGGTCCCCCCAGGATTCTATTGTATAAATCACGGCCCTTGTCCTGTCATTGGCCGCTCCTGGCGGTGGAGAGGATTCTCTCCAGCTTTGGAAAAGGGAGGAGGTGAAGAGCTTTTGGAAACTTTTCTCTCGAAAAGGCTTAGGGTGCCGAAGGCGATCCGACGTCTCGCAGCTCACCTCCCGCGTCCCCCACCCCCGCGGCCCTCAGGGAATATGACACCCGAGAAGAAAACCCGGCGCCCCCGGGGGCTCCTCTGCGCAGGGAGGAGAAACCGGAGCCGCAGCCCGCCGAGCCCAGGCCGCGCTCGGGGTCCGAGAGGCTGGGAAGGGGCTGCAAGAGAGATGAAGGAGGCGAGTAGCCCCGGAGGCAGAAGGGGCGGAGAGGTTCCTCCGCCCCTAACTTCCAATCCCCGTGCTGCCTGGAAACTTGCTGTCGGATGGGCAGAAAGTGGCTTTCGCGGGGCGCACAGTGAAATGGGCTAGCGCCCGGCTAGGTATTGGGGGGTGGGGTTCCCCTCACTCAACTCAATCTGACACAAAGTTAGACCCGTGTCGGGAATTCTGGCCAGTGGTGAGGCCCTTGAGGAGGTGGGCTGCTGCCCGATTCTGGGAGATTTAAAGAGCCGGTGGCTTGGGCAGCTCAGGAATTTCCGAAGGGAAAGAGTCGCCCAGCCCGCCTGTCGCCTGAAGCTGCCCCGTTGGATGCCCGCGCCCTTCTCCCCGTTCCTCCCCGGGAGGAGACTTCAGAGGCCACCAAACCTTAATACTTGCCGACGCCTTCCTTTTGCTTAGATACTACTTCAGAACTTGAGGCTGAGAGGCGCCCTTGGTCAGATTCGCCTGAGTGGCAATGGCAGGGCACTTCTGCCCCTGCCCTACTGCTACAAAGACAGTTTCCACCCAGTCCCTGGTCTCCCATCCCGACAGATGTGAACGGAAAACTTCCTCTGCTGTGCAGTTGCAATTGATAGACACACCCTGTACCTGAATGACTCAGAAGGATGCTGAATGAATAAACAACAGACTCCTGGTTTCTTAGATCTTATGAGTTTGCAAAAAAACCTTAAGTAACCGTTAATTCACAGCTGCCTTGAAGCCTCATCAACTATTTCACACTCAGCATATAACCACACTTCCAACAGCAGTACGTGCACATGTACTACACGAAAACTAAGATAATGGTGTCCCTTTGATTGGATTTGAGGACTTAGATCATTTAAAGAGGGAAGCTTGTCGTGTCTACACAACTCAACATAAATTGGGGGGCTGGAAACACCCCCCCCACACACACACACACATACACACTAATTTAAGGATCATTTGAAGGGAAAGGACTTAAAGTGACTTGCACTTAGACTGTATCAGACACTGTGATAGATTATCTAATTTAACACTACTGCTCTTTGAAGCAGATCCCCAGTGCCATAGTGGTTAAGAGCTTGGCCACTAACCAAAAGGTTGCCAGTTGGAATCCATCAGCCGCTCCTCGAAAACTCTATGGAGCAGTTCTACTTCATCCTATAGGGTCGCTATGAGTCGAATCCACCCAGCGGCAAGGGTTGGTTTGGTTGGCCCTTTGAAGCAAACATTGCTGGCCATTTTATTGATGAGGGAAGTGTCACTTAGACAGCTAAAATGACTCGTAGTTCTCCCAGCTAGTTAGGGGCAGAACTGGATTCCAGAACTTCAGTACTGCCATGCCATGTCTCTCAGCTCAACTGTCTTCAGTTTAGAAGTAAAAGCAGGTTTACTCTTTTCCTAGGTAAACACTTGCTCCACATGCTGCTTCCCCCAAACTTCCTATGACTCTCTCGTTCTTCCCATGCTTGGCCTCTGATGACTTTATCTTCAGCTTACCATGAGTGTTTATGTGTCTCCTTTTCCAAAAAAGTCACTGTCTTCCTCCACAGAATTGGTCCCTTATCTCTCACTTTTCTCTTTTGCCAACCTTCAAAACTGTGTAATGCAATATGATCCACTTTTGGAACCCGACAAGTTTAGGTTTGGTCTTAACACTGCCAGTTCCTAGCTGTGTGACTTTGAGCAACTTCCTTTAACTTCTTTGACCCTCAATTTCCTCATCTCTAAAAAGGTTAATAATATTTCTCTCTTTCAGTCATTGTGAACATTAAAGAGTTTCATACATACAAAGTGTCCGTTATAGTACAGAGTAAGCTCTTTACCCTCCCACCACTTCTATCTCTGTTGTTGTTACTTGCCACTGAGTCATCTCTGACTCTTAGAGACCCCATGTGTGCAGAGTAGAACTGCTTCGTAGGATTTTCAAGGCTGTGACCTTTCAGAAGCAGATCACCAGACCTGTCTTCCAGGGCACCTCTGGGTGGGTTCAAACCGCTGACCTTTCAGCTGTAGTAGTCGAGTACTTAACCATTTGTGCTACTCAGGATCTCACCTCTATTTCTAACTCTATTACACTCATTGCTTTCATTACCTCACTTTCCATCTTTCCATTCACTTTCCTTTTTGATTTTCAAATAATTTTTTTTTTGAAATAACACCTGCTCATGGTTTCAAAAAATCAAATACAGTAGTCCTCCCTTATCCAAGATTTCACTTTCCACAGTTTCAGTTACCCACGGTCAACCATGTTCTGCAGTGCTTGTGTTCAAGTAATCTTTGTTTTACTTAATAATGGCCCCAAAACATAGGCGTAGTGATGCTGGCAATTCCGATATGCCAAAGAGAAGCCATAAAGTGCCTCTATTTTATTATTAATTATTGTTGTTAATCTCTTACTATGCCTACTTTATAAATTAAACTTTATCACAGGTAAGTATGTTTAGGAAAAAAACATAGTATATTCAGGGTTCAGCTTGAGGCATTCACTGGGGGTCTTAGAATGTATCCCCTGCAGATAACGGTGGACTGTTGTAATAGAAAACTAGCAAGAGAGAGCATGTCATCAGAGGCTTCCTTGACCTCTCATCCTCCCAGTCACTTTTAAGACCTTTTAGTGTTTCTTTTGGTGGTTACTTTCAAACCTCTAAATCCCATGTTAACACCTTTATTTCTTGATTATCAATTTTAGATCATACCTATAGCTTTTCTGCCACGCTGAAGGAATATTAATTTACTTACCCTTAAGAAACATGCTTCTGATATAAACATTCCAAATACTTGCATGTCTGATATTTTTAAAATTTTATTCTTACACTTGACTAATATTTTGGCTGAGTATAGATTTATTTCATTTTACTTGGATCCACAATGAATATCCATGGAAGCAGCAGTCAAGAAATCAAAAGATACATTGCATTGGGAAAATCTGCTGCAAAAGACCTCTTTGAAGTGTTAAAAAGCAAAGATGTCACCTTGAAAACTAAAGTGCACCGGACCCAAGCCGTGATATTTTTAATCACCTCCTATGCATGCGAAAGCTCGGCAATGAATAAGGGAGACCAAAGAAGAATTGACACCTTTGAATTATGGTGTTGGTGAAGCATACTGAGTATACCATGGACTGCCAGAAGAACAAACAAATCTGTCTTGGAAGAAGTACAGCCAGGGTGCTCCTTAGAAGCAAGGAAAGACCCTCAGCGAGATAGATTGACACAGTGGCTACAACAATGGGCTCAAGCACAACAAAGATTGTGAGGATGGCACAGGATCGGGCAGTGTTCTGTTCTGTTCTGTTGTACATAAGATGGCTAAGAGTCAGAACAGACTCAAGGGCACCTAACAACAACAACAACATAGATTCATAAGTTGTAAATAATTTTTCCTGAGAATTTAAAAGGCATTATTCCCTTATCTTTTAACTTCTATTGGTACTGACATGAAGTCAAAGCTATTCTGATTCCAAAATTTCACATGACTACTTTTTTTTTCTCTTCTAGGTGTTTTTAGAATCATGTCTTGTTCGTCAGTGTTCCACAATTGTACAGTGATATCCCTTGATTTTCCAAGCTTTCTCCTGAACACGTAACAAGCTGTTTACAGTTCTGGGAAACTATCTGGAATTACTCCTTTGACAACTTCGTTCTCTACCTAGAACTCCCACTCTTCAGATTATGGATCGTCTGGGATGATTCTTTAATTTTCTTATATTTTATTTTTCCATTTTCTAAATCTTTATCTTTTTGTTCAACCCTTTTAAATCTTCACTTAATATTTCCATTTCTGCTCTCTCTCCTGCCTTTAATTTCCAAATGCTCTCTTTTTCTTTTCTGAGTGTTCTCTTTTTATAGAATCCTGTTGCTGTATATTCACTTACCTCTGAGGATATTGGAATGTTGCTGTTACTGTTGACATTTTCTCCTTTTTTCTTCCTTGTCTCATTTTCCTGTTTGTTTGGTCTCAGGTGTTCGTGGTGTCAGAGACTTGACCAATTGTCAGGTGATCTCTGGCTCTCCTTTTCATACTTCAGACAGAGGCACCAAAAACTGATTAAAAACTTTGTTTGGGGGCGGGCTTGTCAATGGAGGGGTGTTAGGTGATTAGGCTGGGCTATTTTGTTGGAGGATCCCAAATGTCAATATCTGGAGAGTTCTA